CCGCTGGTTGGTGTCCCCCGTTTTGGGACCGGTCCCCTCAGTGGGGGCCACGGCAGCTACGGCGACGTGGCTGCTCCCTGCCTTGTCCCTGACCCTGATCCAGCCCTTCCCTCTTAAACAGGAGACTCAAGACTTAATTAGAAGGATTTTGCTGTGTATTGATCAAGCAGAACCTCTAAGATACTAACAAGGCCTTAATGGGCTAATTAACACATCCCTTTTAAACGCAGACGCTGCCACTGTCACCCAGGCCATCCCAGCCCCAAGTGGTGTCACCGATAAATGATCTAGGCGAGGGCAGCCCACGGTTCCCTCCTGCCGCTTGGGTTCGTGTTGGTGCCACTTTGTGCTTTTGGGCTTCCTGCCTGGATTTATCTCACTTCAGCCTTGACTCCCCTACCTGCCCCTGCCCAAGCACAGGCCGTTTCTCACCCCGCGGCAGAGCGGAGCGGGATAACACCTGGGCACACCGGGATCTGCGTCCTTGGAGCCCTGTCATCCCCCTCCTGCTTCCCACCAGGGCCAGCCTGGAGTCCCCGTGGGAGCTCCTGCTCTCCAGTCTCTCCCCGCGCTCGGACTCCTAAGCCCAAAGGCCTTTTAAGGATGGATATGGATTTGGCTCCTTCTCCTGCCCTGCTCTATCCCAGCTTTTCCTCTCCTCCACTTTTCCAGTAACATTTCTATCATCCGAGCAACTAAAACGCCCGTGGGCAAAGCGTCTCCCGCTTCTTCCCTGATCATGCCATGAACTTGCAAGAATTTCCAAATCGCTCCTATAGGGACAAATTTCTGCACCCTCACAGCTCTCTTCTAGAGGGCACAGGGCATTTTTGGTCCCAATTGTGTTATTTAGATGGTCACCTAGATGAGGGGCGCCTGGCATGATCCACATTCTGCTGCTTCAGTTAATATTGGTGGTGCTTTGTGTTTTTTAGGCTTTCTATTTGGAATTATCTCACTTCGGCCTTGACTCCTCTCAAAACACTGGTTGTTTCTCACTCCGTGTGCAGCTGCCCGCAGAGCAGAGCAGAAAACACCTTTAATGTGGCTCCGTGCCCTTGAATCCCTGCCATTCCCCTCCTGCTTCCCAGCAGGACCAGCCTGGAGCGGGATTGTTTCCTCCCTGGGTTCTCCCTGGCTTTGGCTGCTCTGCACCCGCTCCCTGCTGGATCCCCATTGGAAAGTGTCCCCTGGAAGTGTGTTCTGAGGGATGTGAGACCCCTTCCCAATGGCCCGGGGGTTGGAGCTGTCCCCACACCCCGTTCCTGTGTGATTAAAGCTGGGAAAGTCCCCAGAGGAGAACTGCAAACAAGGAGCAACATGGAGGAGATGGGAAAGGGCAGGTGGGAGACAGGGACAGGGCCCCAGCCTGGAGCAGGTACCACCGGGAGCCAAAAATCCCCAGGGACGAGCAGGGCCCCGGTGCTGACCCGCATCCCACCAGCTCCTCCGGGACCGCTGCACTCCAGGGGCTGGAGATGCCCCTGGTT